GCTTCCTCTGAAGACCCAAATGCTTCTGCTTCCATCCCAGCACACCTGTGCACACACTCACTGTCCACCCCAGCACACCTGTGCCCACCCCAGCACACCTGTGCATACCCTAGCACACCTGTGCCCACCCCAGCACACCTGTGCATACCCTAGCACACCTGTGCCCACCCCAGCACACCTGTGCATACCCTAGCACATCTGTGCCCACCCCAGCACACCTGTGCATACCCTAGCATACTTGTGCATACCCTAGCACACCTGTGCATACCCTAGCACACCTGTGCACACACTCACTGTCCACCCCAGCACACCTGTGCCCACCCCAGCACACCTGTGCACACCCAAGCACACCTGTACACACACTCACTGTCCACCCCAGCACACCTGTGCCCACCCCAGCACACCTGTGCACACCCAAGCACACCTGTGCACACACTCACTGTCCACCCCAGAACACCTAAGCATACCCTAGCACACTTGTGCACATACTCATTGCTTCCCCAACTACTGTACCAAACAATCCCAGTCCTCAGAGAGACAAACGGACATTTGTCAGTGACAAATGGACAGGTGGAGCAGCAGCTGCCTGGCACAGCTGCACTCTGAGGGCCAAGATTAGGAGGGAGCAACTGGGAGACTCAGTACCAGCTGCTATCGTGGAGTTGGGGTGGGTGTCTACTGGCACAGTGCACCACTGGAGGGACCCAGGGTCTTTAGAAGTACACCAAATGACCCAGAGTGGAAAATGTCAAAATTCAACTTGAAAAAGGAAGAAAACAACAATGACAGGTCCTTGAGGTATTGCTTATCCATAATTTTGGGTAGAATGTGCAGTACTGCAGTGGGCTGTGTCTGTGAAGAGATGGGTTGGTGGGATGGCTCAGTGGGTAAAGGCAATTGCCATGCAAATCTAATGCCTTGTGTTAAAACCCTGGACCCATGGTGGCAGAGGAGAATTGACTCCCCGGAGTTGTCGTTTAACCTACACACACACATACACACACTCACACACATACATACACACACACACTCACACTCACACACACACACACACACACACACACACACACACACAGTAAAAAGCAAAAGCCCGAGTTTTGTGTTTTACATCAGCACCATATGCCTTTCTCCAATCTTTCTGATGCATATCTTCTCATAAATACAAATTTTTTTTTTGCATATTTGTGATGAGTAGATGAAGGGTTCTTGTTATTTTTGTTCCCAAGGACATATAATTCCAATAGTCCCATCTCTCTGCAAGAACTATGAATCTGGCTTTCCCATTAAAATTCATTTTGCTGGACGAACAAGTGAGGAGAAATTAGTTTGACTTATGCAATAGATTGCACTTGGGATCTTAGACAGTTTTTAGTAATTTCAAATAGAAATTAAAATTTCAAATTATAAAGCATAACTTTTAGAATATACTTTAAAAAGGCCTTTTATTTTATGGGTATAAGTGTCTTGTTCTTATAGATGTCTGTGTGCCATATTGAGTGTCTGATGCCTTCCTTGGGAGTCGGAGGAGAGTGGCAGATCCTTCTGGAATTTCGATTATGGACGGTTGTGAGCCGCTGTGTGGGTGCTGGGAACTGAATTTGGGTTGTTTGCAAGAACAATAAATACTCTTAATGGCCAATCTCTCCAACCTTATACTTTTTAATGGCTTCCCCCTCAAATTTTAGACAAGGAGAATAAAAATCAGAAAAAATCTATGCATCAATCTGGAAGCTTTTTAAAAGACTGTACATGTGTGATTCTGAATAAACACCTTCCTATTGTAACTGTCTAGTTATGACTATCATTTCACCACACCATTGAAGAAGTAGCATAGGGCTGGGAGTGTGGCTGGGTGCTAGCTAGTATGCACCCATATTTACTCTTTCAAATAGAATTTTCCCAAGGCTTAAAACCATATGCTTAGCAAACAATAGCTGTTATTAGTATGGCCATCTGTGAGGCCCAATTTGCTCTAGGGATTGCTTATATTTTGTGTAAATATATAACACACCTTATGACATTGCATTTTAAAATGTGGGATGTGGTGAGATTGGTTTTGTGAGTTTCATCAAGCAAGAGCTTTATCAAGAGTGACATAAAGGAAAAGCTATCTGAGTACACTGTAGGTAAGAAAAAGAAAGCCTGTGAAACTTATTTTAGTTGTATGCATGCAACATGCATCTGTAAAGTATGTCTTTTCTTTAGTTGCGATAAAAATTTGGAAAGTTCCTGGCCCAAAGCATATACTCTTCCCCACCCCTCGATAATAGGGAATGAACCCACACCTCAGATGTGCTAGGCAAGCGCTCTTCCACTCAGCTACAGCTCCAGTCTCTAGAAGCACATACTTTTAATGAACATGATAAAGTGAGTACTCATTCTAGAACAAAGGAAAACACTTACATATTTTCCTTTCATTAATAATCAGATCTTCTCTTTTATATTCGTAGAAATGAACGCCTAGCTTTGTATGTGGTATTAAGGGTATTCAAACCATTTAAAAGAAGTTTTCTAACCATTTTTTATGAGTCTCAGAGAATTAGCATCTGTTGACATTATTTTCCACAAGTGGATTGTCATTCCTCTTATACTTGTCTACCAGAAAACAATATTGGATCCAAGGACTCCTAATCTTCAGCTTACCATTCTCCAACAGTGACTTATCCCCATGGCCAAGATGTGACAATCCCCTTTTATGACACACAGATTTATAACAAAACAGTGTTTCATTTGAAACAGATGAAGAATTCTAATCAGTCCACAAAACACTCAGCCCTTCCACACATCCCCTCCTTCTTAAAACCATTTAGAAATGCATGAAATCCGTTGTCTACATCATCCTGTTTAGGTAGAAGAAAAATAACCAACTTAATTGTGTCTTGTGAGGTTCATTACAATGCTGTGGGGTAGGAGAGGCAAAGTTGGAAACACAGTCTCCTCTGTCTGGAGAGGGTCACTGATAACATGTTGTACTTGTTGTGAGATACTTGGAGGAACCCCACCCTGAACTTAAAACTTGAAAATGAGTCATCTCAGTGTGGAGCCTGCTTCCCTCTGCACTCACTGAGGGCTGTGTCCTGGAGCACAGCTGTCAGTGGGACTTCGGATGGATGGAATTCACAAATGTGTCACTTCATTTTTCTCTGGTTACACTGTTGACTATTTAAAGGGAATGTCCATTTGTAATGGAAGGGGCTTTCCGTGGGAAGTTAAGTAGGGAAGACTCCAGGAGGCAGGGAAGGTCCCGAGGGTCCCAGAATACACATTGTGTATACATGATACCATTTGCAGAGCACACACCCTGAACACTAAGTCAGGAGCTGGACACAGAGAAGACGTTCTAAGCAGGTGAGGACAGAGACCATAACTGCATTAGCTAAGGTATACTCAGGAAACAAAACAAGCACAGAGAGACACCACCCTTGAGCGGGAGCTGGCAAAGAGCAAGAGACGGCTTTCAAATTTGTGATGTTCGAACTGAGCCAAGGGGAAGATGTAAGGCTGGCGACCTTTGGGAACCTAAGGTTATACACAATATCCATTCGGGACGCTGCAACTGTTGCAAACCAGTGTGAGTATATCAAATTTGGCAACAGTAGTTCTTTGGCTTTTAGCTAAGCCAGTGGTTCTCAACCCTCCTTTGCTGTGGCCCCCTAACTCAGTTTCTCCTGTTGTGCTGACACCCAGATGAAACATTATTTTTGTTGCTGGTTCATAACTGTAATTTGCTACTGTCATGAATTGTAATGTAAATATTTAGTATATAAAGGACCATTCGGGACCCTTGTAAAAGGGGTCGTGACCCACAGATTGGGAACTACTGATCGATCTAAGCATTGCCTATGCTTGGATGCTAAGGCAGCCAGAGATCTCTGAAATGCTCAGCGAGTTAGGAAAGAGCAGAGACAAGGTTGGAGAGGAGGCCAGGGCCACCGTGGTTTCTATAAGTAATGCAAATGGGAACATACTTAAGCTGGGCTTACCCCATTGCTAAGGCAGAGCCAAAGTGCTAGGATTGAGCTGGAGGTGTGGTCTAGTTGGTGCAATGTTTGTCTAGCATGCATGAGACCCTGAGTTCAATTCCCAGTACTACATGAACTGAGAATTGTAGAAAATGACTGTGATCCAAGCACTCAGGAAGAATGAGAAATTCAAGGTCATCTAAGGTTACCCAGGCAGCCTGGAAGGTAGGAGGCACTGTCTCAACCCTCCCCTGACCAAAACCCCACCAACATACAAAATCCAAACAAGACAAAACAACAACAACAACAACAACAACAACAACAACAACAACAACAAAACCCACCGGGATAATCTAGCTAATAAAAAAAGATGCTCAATAAACTTTGCTATCTCAAAAGAAATATTCAAAACTTTTAATTGATATTTTATTTATGCTTATTTTCAAAGCTCATGTTCCCTTTAATTCCTGCTTCTTAATGCCATCTTGGTGCTTGTAAACCCTTGTGCATGGGTTGAGCCCTCTATGATAAGTGATGGACTGTTTCCATATAATCACCACCCAGGCTAATCCTAATGGCTGTGGGATCCACTGTGTTGGTTTTCCATTAATTTTCTTATTGGCATACACGAATTGTATAAGATAATAGGTTTCATTACGATATTTTTCTAAGTACAGATGTTTATCATGTTTGAAAACAGGAGAGAATTTTACTTCTGGGTCTAGCTTATTTCCTTTAACATGGTGGTCTACAGTTCCATCTAGTTTTCCTTCAAATGACACGATCTTGTCCTTTCTGTCTGAATTATACTCCTTTTGCAGCCTTATCATAGATAGCTGAACCACTTCCTTAACTTATGCCATGCAGGCAGTTCTCAGAGCTTCATCAAGCAAATTCTGTTTCCACAAAGCTTTTTATCCTATTTTGAGGTAATTTCTAAAGCCTATGACTATTAGGCCACATGATACGTGTTTTCACGAGTGTTTTTATGACCTTTTGATGCTCAGGTGAAAGGCCACCAGGGGGCCTGGTACTTACTGTTTTGCTCCAAGCGAGGCCTGTGGTGTGGTGCTCCTTAATGTAGGCCTGAAGCTCGCTCCAGATGTTGAGGTAAGACTTCACCCAGTCCACATGGCGTAGGTCACTTTTGTTACAAAAGAGATCGGACGAGAGCAGAGTTAGGATGGAAAATACAATTTCACACTCGGTTATCTGGAGACAAGTCCAGATCAATTGTCCTCTAGCCAGAAGAGAACCCTGAGAAGGTGGGTGGTCCCGAGTGCCCTCAGCTTCACATAGGACAGACACAGAAAGGGGAACCTGGCCACCAGGAGCTGATACAGGAAGTGCACCATTCCTAGTAGAGTTGACCACGGAGCGCGGGGTACCCCTTCTGACCTCCTTCCCAGACAACACACAGAGTTCTGTTCTAGGAGTGAGACCAGCATAAGGAGAAAAGAGGGAACAAAGCCATTCAGCTTGTTTTCGAACAATTTAGGATTACTTGGTTTCTGAAGTACGATTGTCTAGAGACGTCTACTCACTACACTTGCTATTGTAAGAAAAATGTTTTCTTACCAGCCGGCAAGACACCATACTCCTAAAGTGACTCTAAGTGAAGTACCTTAACTGGATGCTCTTGACAATGCAAGCTATGTGGAGCTCGATCAGATGTTGTTTTATTGAATGAAAAGCTAGTTGAAAGCTTGCCTTAAGAGGGTTAGGACACAGGATTGAGAGGGCAAATGATTGGATTTCTTTCACAAAATGTATCATTATTAGTTTCTTGAGAATTACATATTTTAATCACATCCATCCCTCTTTGTTGCATTTCTTTGGACAATTTCTGCTTCCATAACTTCTTTCCCCCATTTTGAAGGAAGCACTGGGTTTTGAGTTTGCATAAATTCAACGATATACTTAGGCCACTGATCTGAAGATAACCATAGAAGGAAACCTCTTGAAAATGTACTGTTTTCCTTGAAATATTCTAGATGCCGGCAGCATGCCTAGAGTCCATTGCAATAAGCCATACCGCCAGAGGAAGTGAGCGAGGAGATGACCATGGTTTGGATGGGACAGGTCCCTCACAGAGTCATGTTTAAAGACTTGATCCCAAGGCCCTGCCATTGTTTTGGGTGGTTGTACACCCCTTAAGAGGTGGCACCTGCTGGCCCTTCAGTCTATAACCTACCCCTCTTTTCTGTTCTATCTTTGCTTCCTGACCTGCCCAGAGGTGAGCAACCATTCATGGTTTCAGCTGCCAAGCCAGCCCTATGGCCATGTCTTCCCAGCTATGATGGTCTGTATTTTCTGAAGCACAAGTTATAATGAACCTCTCCTGTCTTAGGTTGGTTCTGTCAAGAGTTGTGATGTCAAGAAGGAAGCAACGGGTGTAAGGGTTGGAATCCTGGTCACTCCTCAAAGGGGACATTATCAGCGCTCTTTTCTCCTACAGGTATAGATTTGTTGGCTATATGACAGTTGTCTGTGAAGCTCTCTCTGCCTCACTCTCATGGTTAAAACCCTCAAGTTAAGTGTAGCTTCCTACACTGCCTCATCAGCGTCTTGTTATATAGGGTTTCCTGAGGCCTTTAATAAGTGCCCTGGACGTGGGAAACAGTGAGCATACCAGTTATAAAAGGATGAAACTCACATAAGTGTAAATTAGCACTCGTGTTTACATACATGCTCTGCCCATGCAGATGTGTCTCATCTCTGTGTGTGCCCTTATACAACACACAGACACTGCAATTTATATACACCAGACATACCGGATTATACATTTGACACGGTTTCTACTAAGAATTCTAGCAACCAATGAGGGTCAGACCTGTATAAATGAATGTGTTTTTCTTTTAACCAACAAAGTGTTATTCAGATCTGGAGAAAGTTCCAGAATAAGTGGTAGGAGGGAATAACTGCATGGAAAATTCTAACAACTTACAAAGGCCAAATCTACATATGTAAATGTGTTCTCACTTTAACCAACACAGTATTATTTTGACCAAAAGGAAATTCGAGAAACAACTATAGGAAGGGATAAGTGCATGGTATCTTTTATCTGAAGTTAAGTCTCTAGGAGGTTAGTTGAGCAGGATCCAAACACATGGAAGCTGAGAAACCTCCCTCCGTTTTCATTGGCCCTGGAAGTTGTGAAGCTACAGCTGGGCAAAGCCAAGGCAAGAGACTAGCTCTGTTCATACAGAAAATCTTGCCAAGCTGGTTGCCTGGGAAGCATAGAAGCAGAGTTTGTGGCCCACAGCCCTTCTGTTCCAACCCAGCGCAGCCTGTCTCCCAGCTTCTCCTACAGGCCTGCCACACGGGTGACACAGAGAACTTGTGGGGAACTTGGGGGACCTACCTACAGATGGATGCTGGGCATGTGAGGCTTCCCATTCCCATTAGCTCACCAGGATAAGATATTCAAGAGGGACCAGGACCCGGATGACCTGATCTGCACCTCTGGCCACATTTCTCTGGCTCATTATATCTTTTTCATTAAAAGTTGAGGTCAAGGGGCAAAGCCTGAGCTGGTCTGCTTGGCATGGTCTTGTAGTTACAACCACAAAGGGGGCTGAGGCTGGACTACAGTCTCTTTGAAGGCCTGCCTGGACTACAGAGTGAGTTCAAGGCTAGGATGGGCAACTTGGTGAGATTCTGTCTCAAAATGAAGACAAAGTGAAGAGGGCTGGAGATGTAGTGTAGTGGGAATGTGTTTGTCTGGCATAGGGAAGGTCCTGAGTTCAATTCCTACTGCAACAACCAGCCTCAAAGGGGGCACAGACTGGGGTTGTTTTGTGTAGGTGCAAGAATGTGGTCTATCTCCTTTTGATTGTATTTTCCTTCTAACCTCAGATCATTTTCTCTAGGATCCACTATCTGGGCTGTTGGAAACCAGATCTTTCCAAGCTCGTTCTCCAGACAAAACCCCTTGGTTCACCTGTCCTTTCAACAGCTGTTGACTTTTGTTCAGACAACAGCTGCCTGCCTTCCAGATCCTATTTCAGTTCAGTTCAATCTGGTTTTGCCCCCGTTTTGCTTGGTTCAGGGTCTCATCCACCTCAGGTTTGGACTCCCCCATTCCTTTTATTTAGTCACTCATTACCTCCACTTTGACCAGTGGAAATTTCCACTGGACTTGGTGGCACATGCCTGCAATTCCAGCACTTGGGAGGCTGAGACAGGAGAACAGCCGTGAGTTTGAGGCCAGCCCAGGATACATCAAGAGACTGTCTCAAAACATGGAAGAAAAAAGGTTGTACCATATCGGCTCATCCATAACGTGTGTGACATACGGTCAAACAGGGACAGGTTTGACCTGAAAGAGATCAGAGGCAGCTTTCCTTATAAATGGGTGTGTCATCAGGAATCTGATGCTCCTCTCCTTGGGGCTTTCCCTACAAAACTGGAATTTTAAAATGTATTTGTTTGTTTGTTTTTCAAGACAGGGTTTCTTTGTATAGTTCTGGAACTCACTTTGTAGACCAGGCTAACCCCAAACTCAGAGATCTATCTGCTTCTGACTCCTGAGTCTGGGATCGAAGGTGTGCGCCACAATGCCTGGCTAAAATGTATTTTTTTTAATTTAAAAAATTTAAAAATGTATGCTCATAAGTGTGTCCCTTTGAATGGGTATGTACAGGTTCATGTAGATGCCTGCAGAGGCCACACCCGGGTGTTATATGCCCTAGAGCTGAAGTTGTGAATTGCTGGTCCTCTGGAAGAGCAGCAACTGCTTCTAAGCAACGAGCAATCTCTAGTCCTTTATTTTGTTTTCTTGTTACATTTATTCATTTGTGTGTGTGTGTGTGTGTGTGTGTGTGTGTGTGTGTGTGTGTGTGTGCTGGTATGCACTCCAAGGTGTACATGTGGGGGTCATAGGACACCTGTGGGAGCTGACTCTACTATGTAAGTTGCAGGAATTGAAACCAGATCAAAATGTGGTAGCAAGAAGCTTACTGAGTCATCTCAACAACCTGTTTTGTTTTGTTTGTTTGTTTTTAAGATATGGTCTTCTGTGGCCCAGGCACATCTCACATTTGCCATGTAGCAAAGATGACCTTGAATTCTTGATCCTTCTGTGTCTGCCTTTCAAGTGCTAGGTCACAGGTTCAAAGCTCAAATACGGGATTTAATCTCAAGGTTACTCGGTGTTCCAATGAAGGGGCTAGGGCAGGGACTGGTGATTAAATAAACATACTAACTTTTAGGATCAAATGTCTGACGAACGGTCAACTGAAAACATAGCCAGGAAAAGAAGTACATACCTGTGTTTGTAGTCCTTCAGGACCCTGTTAGTGTAAAAGGTGGCAGCATCATTCATCTCCTTGACATAAGGACCAGGTTTGGGGGACTGAGAAAACAGGACCATCACCCAAGCATAGAAGAAAAAAAAATAGGATAAGAAAGAAAATACCTCTAAGAAGCAGAAGAAAAGCAACAGGACAATGGGTAGAATCAGAGGCAATGTGTCTTTGGTAAAGGCTGGAGAGACACTTTCCCATCTCAGAGGAGCAAGGACTGGTCTTGTGCAGGTTAAGAGAAAGCTGACATATCCAGCCTGGAAGGAGCCCTCCTTCAGTGCACCAGACTATGGATGGAGGAGCCAGAAGGTGGCCCCTGCGGTCCCCAACAATGTGACCAGGTGGAGGGTGGCATTCCATCTAGACTCACCACAGCTATCCACCCCAGGGCGGGGATGCTCTCGCTGACTGCGGAGAGGTGGTTGAACATGCTGCTCCCCCTGTTTCTCTCTCGGAAAGTCTGGATTTCTTGAATCTTCTCGGATATGGGTTTCAGAAGGACGGCCACCTCATTCTGCAGGCAAATGTTGGGTTGGTTACTGTGGACAGACAGAACCCTCTGTGCACCCTGGCCTGAGAGGGCCACACAGGGCTTGCCACGGGTTAAGGGTTTGCAAGGAACATGTGACCAGATTGCAGAAGAGGGTGATTTTCTTTATTGCATTATGAAATATTTCTTTCCTTCCCTAACCCTCTCTTTCTTGCATTCATCCCTCCATTCTCCATCTCTCTCTTTCCCTTCCTCCCTCCATTCCTCTTTGTTATGTTGATACAGAACAGTCTTCTGTATGCCTGGGTGCTACTGTTGTGGGTTCAACCAAATATGGGTAGAAAACTCTACAATAAACAGCTTGGGTGACAGAAAGATCAGCAGCAGTAGTAGTAGTATAGTAGTAGCAGCAGCAGCAGCAACAAGGAACCTGGACATGGTGGCTCGTTCTTGTAACCTCAGCACTTGGGAGGAGGCTTATTGAGAGCCTAGGTACCAAAGTGAGACTCTGACTTGAAATAACAACAAAGGCAGACATGTGGTGGCTAACACCTCTAATTGCAACACTTAGGAGACCGAGGCAGGAGGATTGCTTGGAATCTGAGACCAGCCTGGGCTAGAGGGTAAAACCCTGTTCCTACCACCACCCAGAAAAGACCATTATGATTTAAAGTTTTATCGTATTTTATGTTCTTAGTCTGATTCGACATTCTACGTGGTCCTCAGCCCACGCATGGTCACATTCACTTCTGGTTGATTTCACAAAGGATTCCTCTAGTTACATTAAAACGATGTTCAAAACTACGTGAGCAGAGTACAAAGAACCACAGAGACCAGAGCCCCACTGCACCACGGCTGCTCTGAAGCCCTCACCCCTGACTCGAGTGTTCTCTGCTTCCTTCGGGAGGGCCGAGGAGCCAGACACTGGGTGGGGTCTGCGTGCACACATACACCAAGGAAGCAGCAATTGCCCTGCTTCGTGGGAGCGAGCGGTTCAGAGGCTTTCAGCACGGTTTGACTCAGTCTTGTTTGTAGGAAGGACAATGGAAGAGCTCTGTACAACTCTCTTATTATTTTTTTAAACATTTCAGAGCAATGATTCCTCACCTTGACTGAACACTGGAGCCATCTGCCATGTCTCCCCACCAAATGCTCATTACCTGGTCTTGGGGAGTCCTGGGCAGGAGTGAGAAGACTGGGAAAATCCCCTAGGTGATCACAGTCACTGATGCAGTGCTCTGTCACAGGCCAAAGGATATTCCTTTGGGACAGGAATGATAGACTGTAGAGAAGAAGTGATGCTCAGCCACAGTGTCTCCTAGGATTTGCTCCTAACTGTCAACTCCTCGCTGTGCCTTCTCCTAAGGGCAATGCTATACAGAGGGGCTTAAGAGTTAGAAAAACCTTGGTTCAAATCTCCCCTCTTCTACTTATCATCCAGGGGCCCTGAGCAAATTTCTTCACTAATCTTTGGTTGCATCTGGCACAAACAAAAGATAACAAGTCCCATAGCCTCTGGGTTATAGGATATGCTATACTTTAAACCTCTGCCCCCAGGAAGGTATACAATAATTGCAAGTGGTGGTTTTGGCAGCCTTGTAATTGGTCACATCAGAGTAGTAGTATGTTTCTTGTTGCTGTGATTAAATACTTGTCAAGAAGCAACTTGAGGGAGGAGGGGTTCCCTGGAACTTTCTATGCAGACCAGACTAGCCTCAAACTCACAGAAATTCTCCTGCCTCTGCCTCCTGATGACTAGGATTGCAGGTGCCCCCCAACATACCAGCTTTGGAATTCTAGTCTTTAGAAAGCAAATATTTCTCTCTAGAAACTTTTTCTCAGTTGAGATTCAGTGACTAGGTTTAAGGGGCGATGCTCCGTTGTGCATAGCCATGTAAAAGGCCCGTTTGCCTCTTAGTACTTGGCTAAACTGTAGTATGTTTGATGCAATGACACCTTTGAGAAAGGCCAGAATATCTAAATTGCTGGTGGGACCTGGCCTCTTGCCCCAAGAAGAGAAAGAACCAGAAACTGTGTATTTACAACGTTGGAGAGATTTATTGAGACCAACTTTGTTTATCTCCAACATCCCAAGAACAAACTGAAGTCTGAGGAGACACAGAATTCTGGAATATATTTTATATTGGTTATCTGATGAGAGCATCATAAATATCGAGAAAGTTTCCCTTTTGCCTTAATTTGGCAATTGTATGAGGAATTTTCATCAGTTAAAAAGTGTCAAGGGAAGAAAGAACAACTGGTATTTCTACCAATGCTAACAAACATTTCAGCCTTCATTCTGTGCCAGTAGATGCGTTTGTGCTATAAAGTGGTTTATCTCCTCAAGTTCATCCTGAACTTTCATAGCTGGACTACAAATAATCAGAGTGAACATGTGATTTCCATCAAAGCTTAGTGTGCAGATGTCAGCAGAAAGGCAGTGCAGAAGACCTTAGACACCCTTCTACCTGCTTATTAGGCATCTGCTAGGAATACTCAATAAATACGGGTTGAATTGCATCAGTGCCAGCTAAGCTTACAAAAGTACTTCCCGCTAGAGAAAGAGATTGTGTGTGTATGTGTGGTGTGTGTGTGTAAGAATGTGTGTGATATATGTGTGTAAGAGTGTGTGTGTGGTGTGTGTGTATGTGTGTGTGGTGTGTATATGTGTGTGATGTGTGTATGTATGTGTGATGTGTGTGCATGTGTATGAGAGTATGTGTATGCGTATGTGTGGTGTGTGTATGTGTATGTGTGTGTATGTATGTGTGTGTGTTGCTAAGAACTAAACCCAGAGCTTTGCACAAACTAGGCAAGCAGTCTACCAACTGAGCTGAATCCCCAGGAAGGAGGAGATAATTTAAAAGGCATCCTGTGTTATTATTATTATTATTATTATTGGCATATGCTTGTATATGTTGTGTACATACATGTATATGTATGTTGGAGTATGTAGGTTCTGGGGATCCAAGCTCAGCATTGCTTGGCAGGCAGGCCAGGGCTTAATCCACTGAGACATCTTCTGAGCCCAGTGTCCTGGTTTCTTGTGTATTTATTTTCTTAGAGTATAATGGTGGTGGTCTCAAGACATAGCTGTAGAACCTGGAGAGATGATAGCTCAGTCTGTGAATTGCTTGCCACATAAGCTTGAGGATTTTGGTTTGGCTCTCCAATGTCCACATTCTTAAAAAAAAAAGCTGTGTGTGGCTGCACCTGCCTGTAGTTGCTGCTCTGGGAGGGTGGGAAGGAGCGAGGACGGTGGGGTGGCACCATTGCCTATCGAGTCTTAGCAATTAGTGAGCTCCAGGTCCAATGAGAAACCTTGGCTCAAAACATAAGTAATCGAGAAAGACGCTCTTCATGCACACATACACCCACACATGTACACATGAACTCACACACAAAATACACGGCTGGTATATTTTGGAACGACTTCAAATTCCTTCCAAAACAAAACAACCAAAACCCACGTTTCCTGTGGGCTTCTGTTTTCTAAGACAATTTCCTGAAAGAAAATACATTTTCAAGCTGTGAAGACAAGCCTCCAAATCTTTTCTGTCCCAGGTGTCTGTGTAGCAGACCAAGTCACACATGGTCCTACGCGAAGGGAAGAGGCGTGTGTGCATGGCTGTGTTTTCAGCCCGCGTTTCCAAGGCCGTCCTAGCTGGGCTGTGCTTGGGAGATTATCTCAGGCTGTGTCTTTATGGCCCTCGAAACTGGTCTGAACTTGAAGAACTGAGTTGTACTATCAGCTCCATCTCCTTAGCTCCAAAAGGAACTGGATTGTTTTTGCAGAAAATAAAATGGAAGGGTTTTTATCAGCAAGCTTTGGAGAAACTACCCAAAAAAGGCAAACTGAATCTCTCAGGCAGTTCTGTAAGATGCAACAAACTGGACCTTGACCTTAAAGATGGGCACAGAATAACAAGGAAACCGGCTATTTCTAGAGCCAATGGTTCTTTTTTAAAAAATTAAATGACATTTTTTTTGTTTACTAATTTTGTGTGTACTAGTGAATTTCAAAGGACAGTTTGTGTGAGTCAATTCTCTCTCCCCATCATGCCGGTCTGGAGATCAGACTCAGGTCATGTGGCTCAGTGGTAGGCTCTTTTCCCTCGGAGCCATTTTGTCAACTTTTGAAACACAAGGTTCTTTTAAAACTTATTAATATTTTATTTTTAGTGTACGCATATGTAGTTATGTGAATGTATATGCCTTACATACATGCAGAAGTCTGAAGGGGAGATGAGGCCATTGGACTGGATTCCCTGGAACTGGAGTTACAAACAGTATGGGCCACCATGTAGGCACTGAGAACTGAACCCAGGTCCTCTGGAAGAAAAGCCAGTGCTCTTAACCCCTAAGCTATCTCTCCAGATCCTAGAATGCATGGCTCTTTTTTAGTTTCATGTCAAGTAGAAAATAGCTAAATCATTTTGTAAAAGGATTTTTTTTCTGATTATGAAATTAATATTTGCTCATTGGAATCACTGGAAAATATAGATGAGAAATCAAGTAAATACAGAATATTATAATTCTACCATGGAGAAAAATCTCTGTAGGGGGGGAGTACTATAAATGTGTTCAAAAATAAAAATAATTGTCTTTAAAATAATGGCTATTTTTGAATCCCCCATGACAGCGCCCCTTACCAGCAGGAAGTAGTTTGGAAAGAACGGCGCCCAAATTCCCAAATATTGTGTATAAATGTTTGTTTTCATTTAATTGGACTTTGTTATATAAAATTAAATAAAATAATAATAATAAAAAAATAATGGCTATTCAGTTTGGTAGGATTCCTTGGCCCAAAGAGTGACTCTGCAACCATGCACGCATGGGCATTACTAACTGCATTACTGGGTTATAAAAATAAGACCAAATAAAAGGAATGAAGCCAGGAGGTGGATGTACTGGAAAAATATGGGGGGGGGGCTGAAGGAGTAAAATGGGAAATAAATACATTTCATTGTTTACATGCATGCAATTCTCAAGAATAAAGAAATTAAAAAAAAAAAGATGGTAAG